ATCCAGGCAGTGGAATAATGTGCAGCTATCAAAAATGAATGAGGAGGTTTTCTATGAACTTCTTTGGGGTGCTTTTTCAGGGAATACTGTTAAATGATAGAAAGCAAAGTGCAGAAGAGTATTTCTAGTACCTACACTCTATGTAAGTAAGAAGGGGACATGGGAAAACACACAGGCACCAGCTCAGTTGTGCAAAAGCAACACAGAAAGGTAAATCAGAAACAAGAGACCTTGGTTACCTAGAAGTGGGAAAGGAGGTTACAGGAAGGGGTGAGACAGAGTCACTGGGTTAAGGAGAGGGTGGTACTTCTCTTAGTACAGCGTTTGCTCCCAGAACCATAGTTATGTTACACATACTTCCCAAAATATCTAATTGGTCAAATCCACTTGATGGGGTGGTACCCCAAAATGGAATCCAAACAGTAACAAATGGACCTAACTCTGTTACAAACAAATAACGTAATCACACTGAAAAGGATAGGGAAGAAAGGAACATTTGGAAGTGTTTTCTGACTGGATAATGCAATGCCACGGTGCAAAAGAACTGTAAATAGCATACTGTATTTAGTAAATCTACAAATCTATCCTGGAAGAAGTACAGCTGGAATGCTCCTTGGAGGAGGAATGGCCAGACTTCATCTCACTTACTTTGGTTGGGCCAAATAATATCCTGAAGAAGGATCTCATGCTTGGTGAAGTGGAGGGTCAGAGGAAAAGGGAAGACCCTCAACAAGATGGATCAAAACAGTGGCTGCACCAATGGCTCAAGTGAAGATGCATGGTGAGAATGGCATAGGAGCCGGTACTGTTCATTCTGTTGCATATAGCGTCGCTATAGTTGGAATTGACTCAATAGCACCCAATAACAACAACAACAGTTAGTAAATTTGTTTCTTGTAGGAGTATAGGTTAGCAATTCTGAAGCTACTTTATTTCTATACTTTGTTTTGTGTGTTGTTGTGGTGTGCTGTCAAGTCAATTGCGACTTATAATGACCCTATAAGACAGAGTAGAACTGTCTCATAGGGTTTCCTAGACTGCAATCTTTTGAGAATAGATTGCCAGGTCTTTTCTCTTATGGAGTCAGTCACTGGGTGGGTTTGAACCACCAATCTTTTGATTAGAAGCAGAATGCTAAACCTTTGTGCTACCTGGACTCATTTTATACAGAATAAACCAAAAGAAACAAATCCACTGGCACTGAGTCAATTTCAACTCCTATGTATTCTATAGAACAGAGTAGAACTGCCCCATAGCATTTCCAAGGTTATTCATCTTTATGGAAGCAACTGCCTCATCTTTCTCCTGGGCAGCTGCTGGTGGGTTTAAGCAACTAGCCTTTTGGTTAGCAGCCAAATGCTTTAAGCACTGAGCCAACAGAGTCCTAGGGTTGAAGGAATAAATGAATACATTGGAGAGAGTGAAAGCCAGGTTTTCCCTCATTGTCAGAAAAAAAGTAACAAGAAAAGGAAGAAGGCTACAATGACCGCTGTAAAGTTGGATCGGAATCAGAGGTGTCAACATGAACTCATGGGACGGATGGATACATGGAAAGATAGTAGACAGATAGTAGACAGATCGAGATAGATAAAGATGTCTGTTCTCTTGTTCCCTTGTGCTGATTCTGACTCATGGTGACCCCA